GATGTGGATTGTTCTAAAGACCCCTATTCCCCTTCATTCTCGTAAAAGGACATTTGCTGTGTGGCCTTGGAGGGCATCTTTAACCCAGGGGTTGTCATGGGGCCTACTGCCACAGATTGGAAAAGAGAGGTCCTTCTTGGTGAATAAGAAAACATGGGTAGCCTATGGGTAAGGGTGTGACACCTGGTCCTAGGGCTGGTGAATGAGGATGTGGTGAGAGTGAGGAGGCAGGGTGTGCGAAGTGCAGCAGCTTGTGTTACCCTGCTGGGAAACTGGAGGCCTTGGTCTTCCCTTCTTACTCCTAGGGGCCATTCATCTGCGGAGGCCTGGACCCAGCAGCCTCCCAGATCCTCTCTATTCTTCTGAGGAAGACTTGGGGAGAGCCCAGTACATTTCCGGATGCTTCATGGATATTTTTCAAATGTTCAGAGGAGTCTCTCAGAAGAGAGGGAGCACAGGGGCTAAAATCAGGCCCGAGTGCGAGTTGTGAGATCTGGACTTGGGTGTCTGGAGACCCGGGAATTTTTGTCACAACTGTCAACAACTGTGTAATTTCAGACAAAATATTTAACCCACAAGCCTTGGCTTTCTCATGGTTAAAATGAGAAAATCTTCGAAGTTCCTGTATGAGGATTAATTGAGAGGATACATATAAAGTGTTTAGCAAAGGGTCTGACACACAATAAACCTTCAATAAAAATTAATTGCTGGTAATACGTTTAAAATTTTCCTAGTAGCTAGAGCCCTGGGAAATGTTTTAACAGAGGCTGCCCTGCCTGTCGTAGAAATGATTTCTAACCAAGTGAAATAAATTACCTCTTTAATCTATAGTCATCTCTATATCCATGACTCTAGGTGATTCTAGTGATTAATTTTAGAGGGAAAAAGAAAAGCAAAAGTAGCCAGAAACAGGAAGGAAAGGAAAGTCAGCCAAATAGATGTATATGCGTCCCAGCAGAACACACAACAGCCTGGGAGCAAATTGGGAGATTTAATCTCTGCTTGAGTAGGAGCTGTTTTGTTCATTTTGTTTTGTTTTTTAGAAAAAGATTTGAATGAATCCTAGGCTTCCTCCCAGGAGTACCTGGTACCAGGGGGCCAGTGCTAAGAAAGCAAATGACGGGATGATCAGCTCACGTATCAGTCCTCACTTGGAGTTGCGCTT